TTGGCTATAGAGCAGCTTACAGTCTGTGTGCAGCAGTGTGGCTTTCAAAGTGGGAGCAGTGTGTGATAAAAGGAGCAGGGCAAGCAGCACTGGCATTGTAGAAGATAGTTTGGCCATTATGATCCTATCTTTCCTGGAGCTCTGGACAGATAGGTGTAAAGCAGCCCCCTAGAGTGTGCCTCCCCATTAAGGAATGAAGAATCTCAGATCTTCTCTTGCATGTTGCTCCTGTGGATGGGTATAACCTTCTTAATGGACCTAACCTGGCATTTTTCTTGGTTTGGCTGAGATAGCATTTGTGTCCACCACCCCAATTATGGTGTCTGGTTTCTTTATTTACTCTTTAATAGCAGCTGCAGTTTCTGATCTAAGACCTATCAAGTTGTCAGTTACTTTAAAATCATAAACCCAAGTGTTTTGTGCCTTCAAGTCCTAGTGAAAGGAACTTAATGTCTAGTAAAATTATAATTACTGGCTTTCAAAGTATGTCTGTTTCTTTTAAAATATTCAAATTAAATATTGTATGGTCATGAAATGTACAAGTTGAGTTTCTTGATCATATGGTATGTCCATGTGTACAACTCTTAACATATGTGGAAGCTCTGCCACAGATAAAGGACAATATATGGATTACTATTGTATGCTCTATGTCCCAAATAATAAAGGATTTTCCTTTGGGAAAGTGTTTCTGCAGATCCCTACAACAAATTTGCATTAGATGACAGTGTAACATTAGGATCTTGCACACCAATTATGGTTCCAAACAGTGGTTATAAATGGGGCTATTCTTTTCCCAGCACAGCTTTGGAACATCCATTCCAAGTTTCTTCCCTCTTTTTGGTGTTCTTGATAGCTTTTAGTAACTGTGTCACTATATTACCCTACCTACAAGTGGGTTTTTCTGTTAATATAGTTGGTGGCCTGATTGGTAGATGCAGAGGTGCTTCGCCTTTAGAAGGTACACCTCTTACATTGTGGTAAAATACTGGCAGCTGATTAACATGTGTAGTATCCCTGCTATTTGTAGAGGAATGCCTTTAAAGGGCATTCATCCTTGTGCAGTATTCATTCACCTTGAGGAGGAAGTAGAGCCAAATGATTAAAGGTTGTTCTTTTGATGAAGGCCTCAAGGGCTTGTTCCTAAGAATCCCAGAGGCTGAAACCTATATATTTTTCTACAGATCTGATCCCTAAAGATCCCCTGTAGTGGATCAGTACAAAGAGCTCTCATTAGAATATAAACAGTCCTCTGTTCCATTGATGGACATCCTTATTGAACAAGGAACAAAGCAGGGAGATGATCTGAGGAAGGAGAAAGTGGCTTCTTAGCGGAGAAACAATCCTAGCACTTAGAGCTGTTTTCAGTGACTTGCTGGTATTCCATGTTTTGATTTGCATCTATTTTGGTGTAATCTCTCTAAGATCAAGCTAGTAAATGTTGCCCTCAAGTGGATTGGTTTTGAGGGTTCCTGGAGTTTGGTAGTGAAGTTGCTGTCTGATCTGGTACACCATTGGCGGTTATATGTGGTCTTAGGAGGGCTTTAGGTTTGTAAAGTGATATTGGACATTCTCTTGATTTAGAGAAACAGTCAGTCTGGGGTTGGGTGTCCTATTCAAAAGTACTAGTCTTATTTCTGTAAAAATCTAGTTGTCCCTTTGAACCTGTTAGTATTGGGATAAATACTAAATGAATGAGCTGCTCTGTAAATCTGTATTCCAGATGTGGCTTTTCAAGTTTGAATATCAGGTTGTGATCTGAAGGGCAGATGTGTAGTTCTTTGAGACTTCTCTCCTTGGTTCTGATTTCACCCATTAAGATTTGAGTAGCCGTCTAGGCATTGTCTGGCTGGTTGGAGACTGTTTTTCCTCACGATCCTTTTTATCAATTTAATTTCTGTGGGGCAAGTGACTTATGTGGCCCCAGTATCTTCTTGCTCAGAATTCTTTTCGTATCTTGTCCAAGATGCAGGACATGTTGAGTCACTTAATTTGTCTCCAAAGTCCAGAAAGACAGCACAGACTCCTAATCTGCTGGAAGCTACCCTGCCTGAGTTCATAGTTTAGAGGAGGAAGGGGAGGGATAGGTGACTGGGGAGCTTCATGAAAATTCTGAGCATTCTGTAGATAACTCTGGTGTTTTTTCTTCATAATCAGATCATAGCAGGGTCTTTCAGGAAATGAAGGAACACTCACTTGGGTTTTGGAGACTAACAATGGCTTTGCTAATTAATGGACCTGGTCAAAACTCTTGGCATTTCAATAAGAACTAATTGCAAAAAAAAAAAGACACTTTTTCTAATAGCTTTAACTAATGAAAGACTGTCGTGTCTACTCTGAAGGTCTGGCCATAGGCACTGACTTTCTAATGTGCGGGGGGTGCTCTGGCCCAGGCCCTGCCCCCACACTACCCCTTCCTCCAAGGCCTCGCCTTCCCCTGCCCCCATTCAGTCACCTCCCTCGAGCGCACCCTGCCCTCGCTCCTCCCTTCTCCTCCCCAGCACCTCCTGCATGCCGCGGAACAGCTGATCTGCAGGAGGCACTGGGCCACCAGTGGAACACGCATGGAGTTAGCGCCTATGGGCCTGGCAATACCCTACCACTGTTGTGGCTGCCTAGAGGTGGATTGATCAGTTTTACCAATCCCAGATAAGGGGGCTGGGGTCAGCTGGCTGGTGTGGGGTGGGGCTGGGGCCGGTCTCTGCTGCAGGAGAACCAGTTCGAGACCTGCATGCAGGGGGTTAATGGTTAGGGTGGGTTAACGATAGGACTAATACTTACCAGTTTACCATTTAATATTTTACATCCCTAGTTCATTATCATTTGGTTGGTAATAACAATGGAAGCACGTTGATTTGCAGCCAGCCCTGGGTGCTAAATTGAGTACTGCTTGTTAGCTGTTTGCTTAAATAAATGTGTATCTCTAAATCCAATTATGTAGCTTAGTGTACTTTTATTTAGATTTTTACTTTTTAAATTTTTTAATATGGTGAATGCCATGCTTTATTTACTAGATGATTTTATTTGATTTGTGTTAAACTGTATGCAGATGGAAATTCGGAATTTAATTAAAGATACAAAAGTATTTTAAAATTGTTTTAGTAGGGCTGTCAATTGCAGTTAACTCAAGCAATTAACACACAAATTAAATCAAAAAGGCACGATTAATCGCAGTTTTAATTGCACTGTTAATAATAGCATACCAATTTAAATTGGTATTCTAAATATTGTTGAATGTTTTCCACATTTTCAAATATATTGATTTCAATTACAACACAAAATACAAAGTGTACAGTGCTCACTTTATATTTTTGATTACAAATATTTGAACTGTAAAAAAATAGTATTTTCCAATTCACCTCAGTATAAGTTCTGTAGTGCAATCTCTTTATCATGAAAGTGCAACTTACAAATGTAGAATGTTTTTTACATAACTGCACTCAAAAACAAAACAGTGTAAAATTTTAGCGCCTACGAGTCCACTCAGTTCTACTTTTTGTTCAGCTAAGACAAATAAATGTGTTTACATTTATGGGAGATAATGCTGCCCACTTATTTACAATGTCACCTGAAAGTAAGAACAGGTGTTCACATGACACTGTTGTAGCAGGCGTTGCAAGGTATTTTACATGCTGGATATGCTAAACATTTGTATGCTCCTTCATGCTTTGACCAGCATTCCAGAGGACATGATTCCATGCTGATGACGCTAATGTAAAAAAAAAGTGTTAATTAAATTTGTGACTGAACTCCTTGGGGGAGAATTGTATGTTTCCTGCTCTGTGGTTTTACCCACATTCTACCATGTATTTCGTATTATGGCAGTCTCAGATGACAACCAAGCAT